AAAAAAAAAAAAAAAAAAAAATTGGAATAAGGCAAAAAGCCATTGCCAAATAGTTACATTCTCTCGATTTTAGGATGTTCACCTACCATCATAAAATAGCTGAATGCGAATTTCGAACAGAGAAGCAGCACCCAGAATAAAGTATATCTGCAATGAATTATGGAATAAAAGTCCATATCAGCATCATATGAGTAATGAAACATTGTTATACATATAAAACCACTTTTGATAGCAATACCTTATAAGTGAAAATTGACTTTCATGCATCCCCCGTCCCACGTAGATTCTTGGCTGCATGATTAGAAACAATGTTTTAGAACCTAGTCATATATATTAATCAAGATAACAAAATAATAATACAAGACTAATGCATGCATTACCACCGCATCATATACTAACTACATTTACATCAGTGGATGGAACTTAATTTTTTCCTAGACTATAATGGATGCATCTCCAATCTATGGTAATGGAAGATATTGCAGAATCTGAAGTTATTTCTCAAGCAGATAATTGATTCAGGAAACAGTATATATGAAATACCAAACTACTGCTCGGAAATAATTATGTAAAGAATCATAATGGGTTTGTTACTGGAGAAATACTGACGCATGTAAAAAAAGTAGGTAAATATATACCTAACATGATTTTATTTGTCCTCCAGAGTGGACATCAGTTAGATATGAAATGCAGGTAGAAGAACCCACATATTTGGCAATTGATCTCACAAACTCATTTTATTAATATCAGTTGTGTGTTAACTGTTACATAAACAAGAGTAAACAAGACTTTATCCATATACCTGTGACCACCACAGTAGAAACCTTATAACATGCCAGTCGGAATTCTCAATCCAGCGTCTCAGCATCGGGAAAACAAACAAGATTGCAGCCAATAAGTTCGGTAGCAGGTATATAGCCACCGCCATTATGTACAAAGGCGGCACACCCTTAAGTCTATCAAGAAAAGAGAGCACTTCTTTGATTTGGGAAAATGAAGATGACTTGATCTGGACCAAATAACACACAGGGAGGATGATAGACCAAGCTAGGCTGACAATTATCTTGAGGATGCTCCTCAGAACTGTAGTAAATTTCCACCTAAGGAAGCCCGGGAAGTTTAGAATGATGTCCAAAATGCCTGTAGGAATAATAAAATGCTTTTCAATAAGCCACAAAAGTCTAAGTCTTGGATGTTGATATTAAAAGATCTTCTTGGAAAAAGAGTGTTGGCTATAACTTCAAGCTGAAAAATTAATGCATTAATAAGTTTGAAACATGGTACTACATACTCTGAAGGAGACGAAGAAAGGCTGACGTGATAAAAATGCTAGACAAGTCATATAAGGTTTTCCTCTGGAAGAGATCAAATACAGAAACTCTACTCCATGCGATGATAATCATGATCTGCAATTGAAGAATCTCGATGTTTTAGGTCACATACATTTCTGAATTAACTGTTCTTCCACTATTTTACATATCTACCTGTAGCGAAAGAATAAGAAATGTCCACAAACGATCAAAACTCCGAAAAATGTGCCAGAACGTCCTAGTTTCTGCAAAGAATGATTTGCCCAGCTTGCCGGCTGGTTTTCTCGAACCACCTTTCCCCTGAAATCGTATTCATACTTGTGCTAATTAAAAGTGCAAGTTCGATATACCAAAAAAATATTTTCTAGGGAATGCCAACTTCAATTACCTGTGTCACAGTTCGTGTTGATTTGAAAAACTCACCATCATCACGCATTGGCCAACCCAAATGGAAGCAATCTGTTGACCTGCATCATTTTGCCAAAACCACTTCTTGTAGCAAGAAAAAGTCGATATCAATAACTAATATTACTTTTCAACATATTTCTTTACCAGAAGTACTCATTTAAATCATCATAGTTGCACCAGGCGGTGTGAGGGGCTATCCCGTTTTTGCTTTTCTTGGATTCCTGGTAGCAATACAAACAAATGTCGTTATCTCTACATAAAAGAGGCTTGGTTCAAACCAAGCAATTCCCGTGGCAATAATTTACCTTTTCAATCACTTGATAAATAGGTGTTATGACTTTCCGCAAGAAGGCTTCATCTTCCCCGCCATAGGAAGGCTTGATGTTTTCTCCCGTGACAATGCTAACATTCCCAGCTAAGAGTCCATGGAGCTCATATGCCATCTGAAAATGCATTCGTATGATTAAAAAAAATATTTTACTGCATTTCTTTGTAATTTCACTTCAATCGTGCAAATAAAGGCTGGAAAATGAATTTTCAACTCACATTGTGGAAAATGTAGCATATGCATTCAGGCATGAAGCGGACATTAGCTGCTTCACCCCATATAAGAAGATAAAGACCCATATAAAGTATTTTTCTCTGCTGCACATCTGGTTGACCCTTTGGGAGTCTAAGATCAAGAAGAAATAAGTACTAATTATTAGCAAGTCCTCCTACTACATGAAAACTTAAATGTCTCTTTATTGAATTTCACCCCAGATATTATTTCACCTTAAGCTGTGTTTTCTTCCCAAGTATTTACACCATGTCTTGTAGTTCTTGAAAAGCTTATTCATCAGGGCATCAACAGCTCGATCGTCGAGCTAAGAAAAGATAAGGAATGTTAAGCAATTTGCACTGATAATAAACAAGCTCATGTACAGTATATATACATGTACATCCAATTCACAAATCATGTTATGCACATATTCACAACAGTATATTTGATATGAAACTCAAATGTATGGCTAGTAACCAAACACGCAACAATATGATTATTTAGAGCAACAAACTAATTTAATGTAAATATAATTTCTAATTGCACTGCAGTAAAACATAAGATATTCTCCATATTAAATGTAAAGAGAGTCAAAATATGCCCATTTTCAGTATATGCATAGGATAAACAGACAAGGAATACATACAATGTTTTGTGGTTCAGGCTTGGGGATTAGCCGTATGTGAATATTCGCGAGCAGTAGTATTAAATGCTCCCTTTGGTTGCTAACATTGTCTCTCTGTAAGAGACAAACAAGTAACCAAGTGAGAATAGATGTTTAGACCCCGACAAAAAGACATGGATGGATTGTATCATCTTTGTCCAACAGTTCACAAGACTTACCTGAAACCCAAACATGGCTCTCAGCCAATCAAGGAGGTCAAGCTCCCCAGCTTTGTGCCTTTGTTGCTCAAATGAGGATGGCCATGTCAATCCACGGGTGTTTTGTAGAGCAGCCACGGCCGCTTTCACCTACCGTTATTACAAGAGTGTAATGAGTTGACATCTTTTCAGTGTTTGAGTAATATGATGCATGACGTTAGTTTTATGTTTTTCCCTCCCTTTTTGACATAATATTTTAAAAAAAATAAAAATAAAAACTAGTAATGGAGTTAGTTGAGTAAGAGTAAGTAAGGGCAAACTGGGGAGGAAATAGGAAGTCAGTTTTGAATTCCAAAAACAACCATGCTGACAAAAATATTAACTAATATGACAAATAATTTAGGAATGGTGGAGTATGCAAAGATGAATGATGAAGATATGTTGCAAGTGTTTCACCTCTTCCAGCTGCATAATTGACTGTTTTGCCCCAGCAGAATCCATGGGAAGAATATTGTACGGAGCATATATTTCCTTCTTCGCCTGGACATCATTAGCTGCAGCCATGATCTGTTAAATACCAAACAAACGGTCAGTTTCCATCCTGCATCATAAACATAATCATCATACAAAAATTTAAAAGGCGAACCAAAAAAGAAATGAACTAACCTCAGGAGCAACTTCCTCGACTTTTTCGGTCTTATTAACAGCACAAAGCACTTCAAACAGCACACCAGCTGTCTGGTAAGCTTTCCCCAGCTGGGCTCTGAAGGACATAAAAAGAAATAAAGAAAATAAAACAGTCGCTTTGTCGTTTCAAAGACATGAAATCACATGTTAAAAGTGAAGAAGAAGAAGAAGAAGAAAAGGAAATGTAGTACGAAAATGAGCACAATCACCTGTCAGCTTGTTCACCCTTGTTGAGCGCCACCACATAGTGCTCGTAGTATTGTTTGTAAAAGCTTTCGATTTCGCGAGCATCCGTCTTCTTCACCCGAGACGCTAGAGTTGATGCATTTTCCTGATAACCAAATTTTCAGTGTTTTTCTGCTCTTTCAGAGACGGTAAAACTAGGGAGGCCAGTAAGAAGAACTATATAAAAAAAGTTACTTGACCGGTGTTAACCGTCGACAGTCAAACCAGTCAATTAATAACTTATTATATAGTTAATTTAAATATAGTAATTTTTGTTATCATACAATTAATGTAATACATAAGGCATATTTAACTGATGCATATATAATAAATATTTAATTCATAATGCATATATAGTTAAAATAACACAAATAAATCATATTTATTTCATACATAATACATACTTAATTCATTCATAATGCATACTTAAAGTTGGTATTAGTTGCATCTTTGACATAGACATTGTCATCTTGAATAGTACACATTTAGTTCATACATAGTGCATATTAATTCATAAACAATGCAGACAACACATACTCAATACAAAAAACATATTAAGTTCATATATAATCCATATTTAATTCATATCAATCGCGTATTTTGAATGCACATATGCAACGCATGTTTAGTTTGTACATAATTTATACTACGGTCAACGGTCAACACCCGTGGCCAGCGTCGTTAGTCAATGGTAAACGATGACAATCAGTGTCGAAAGTCAACAATCAATGGTGGTGGTCAAATCAATATTTAAGAAAAAATAAAAAATAAAAGATTAAATTTTGACAACACACCTTGTTCCCAATATAATGGGACTAATGCTCGCATTCTCATTTTAAAAATAGAGAATCATTTGATCCAATATACACACACAACACACACACACAACACACACACATATATAT